AGAGGGATCAGAGTTATGTGGGACTCCCCTCTTCTGCCCGCAAGAAGAAGGGGTATATCCACTAAAACCACCACGGTGTGCCTACTTTGCTCATTATAGGGGAGGGACTCGGAACCCCTTGTGCAGGACTCTGCCGGGACCCCCCCTTGAGCGGTTGTTGACTTCTCGGAGGGAGATTTTATCTCCCTTCTGTTTTTGCTCTTTGTTTTGGCGACACGGCGGGCCACACGCCGTCGTGTCGCCTCATTCGTGGCCGCATTGGGACGAACTGGGGCCCCCGCCCCAGCTCGTCGCGGTTGCACAGCAGTGCCTTCCCTGGGTGAACGGTTCCACCCAGGGACCGCTGGCGCCTATCTTGTGGCATTTGGACGTGACTGAGCGGCGGACTACTCAGGGGACCCGGCTCCCCCACGAGCCCGTCGCTCCTCTCCCCCTTCCCTACGTGGGAAGGGGGAGCTACTGTCACCGTGGTCTTTGGCCCCCAGGACGAGCGCGGGGAACGGGAGCCCCGCCACTCGCTCGCGCCCGCCTGCAAGGTCTCCCTAGAGGGAGAGGTAGTCTCTCCCTCTCTCGCTCGGCTTCCTCCTTCTGCTCCATCACTGTGGAGCAAAAGGAGACCATCGCTTCCCACATGTTTTTGTCCCTGGAGGCCAACGCCCGCAGCATGCCCTCCAGGGACAAATCGTTTCCTATTTGCGCNACCAGCGCTCGGCGTTCAGTGGCCCACCGTGGACATTCTTCCACGGTGTGCTCCACCGAGTCGCTGGCCGCTCCACACTCGTGGCATTGTGCCGTTGGTTCGCTCCCAATACGACACAGGTACTCACCAAAGCAACCATGCCCGGTAAGTACCTGCGTCGTTCGGTAAGTGAGTTCGACCCCGTTCTCCAGCCACACCTCGAGGTGGGGTCGGAGGACCCGGACGACTTCCTGGGCGGCCACGTTAGGCTCGTCCAGGAACTGCTCCCAGTCAAGGAGCATTTGTCGCCGGGCCTGGCGCTTCGACTCGGCGAGGGCCTCNTGCAGGTTGTTTACTGCAAGACCCTCCTGCTGCAGCAATTCGACTCGGCGAGCGTACCTCGCCGAGTACATGCGCGCAAGGAAGGCCAATGGAGGCATCCCCGCCAGGACGCCCGCCGTCTCTGTGGCCACCGTGCGAAAGCCGCTGATGACGCGAAGGGCCGCCACTCGCTGAGCAGCGCGGAGCGCACCAAACTTGCTCCGCGCCCCGGCCCTTGCCGCGACTTCCGCCCACAACGGTGCGCCGTACAAGGCCACCGAGTGGACCACATTCGCAAAGAGACGGCGGACTTTCGTCCTCGGGCCGCCCAGGTTCGGCTGGATGCGCGCGAGCGCATTCGCAACCTTGCGAACCCTGGGGGCCAAGCGAGCGAAATGCTCGCCGAAGCGCCACATCGGGTCGAGATGAATACCGAGGTACTTGATGGTTGTACCTACCTCGACCCGTGCCTCACCTACGGAGAGACTGTGTCCTACGGGCCGCCCACGACAAGGGCCATGGAACCACATGGCCTCCGTCTTGTGGACGGCAACTTTGAGACCCAGTCTCTCAATGCGACCAACGACACAATTAGTGCCACATTCAGCCAGTTGTCTTGTCCTGTCCCAGTTCTTCCCAGAGGCCATTACGAGAGTGTCATCAGCGTAGCAGATGACCTCTAGACCTCTGGGAAGAGCGGCCTGGATCACCACATTGTACCCGAGGTTCCATAGCAGGGGGCCGAGCACCGACCCCTGCGGAACCCCGCGGTACATCTCTCTTCGGTGTGGTGACCCGTACCGGCCGGTGTACTTTATCTCCCTGTCGCGGAAGTAATCCCCGAGGATCCTGCTTAGATAGGGTGGGAAACCATGATGGTCGAGAGCCCACCCTATGCTGTCCCAGGGGAGGGAGTTAAAGGCGTTGGAGATATCTAGCGATACAGCCAACGCCCTCCCCCCCTGCCTGACCGACGCGTCCGTGAGGGACTTTAGACGGAAAACGGCGTCTACCGTTGATCGTCCCTCACGGAAACCGTACTGGCAGTCGGCCAGGTCGGGACCTACCCGCGACAGGTGCGCGACGAGGCGGTCGGCGATAACACGCTCAAGGAGCTTGCCCGCCTCGTCGAGCAAGCAAATCGGCCGGTACGCGGACGGTGAGTCCGCAGGCCTACCTCCCTTGCGGAGCAGGACAAGACTGGCCCGTTTCCAGTCCGGGGGGAACCAGCCCGTCCTCAGGCAATCTGAGAAAATACGCCTGAGGCGGTCTCCCAGGGGACCCTGTCCAAAGGCAAAGCCCAGCACCTTGCCGGGCACGCCGTCGGGACCGGGAGCGGTGTTCTTCCGCGTCATCCGGCGGACGGCCCGGCGAAGCTCCTCTTCCGTGACCCCCAAGTCGCTGGACCAAGCAGCTGCTTGATCCAACTCGGGCTCCCTGGAGAGCCAGTCGCCTCTCCCATCAGGGAAGAGGGTAGACACGACCCTCTCCAGGAGCTGGGGGTCAAGACACTCGGTNATCGGCGGGGTCCATGGGCGAAGTTTGCCCATTACCAACCGGTAAGGGCGCCCCCATGGATCCGCGTCGATTGTCTCGAGGAGCTCGTCCCATGCTTTGGACTTTGCCTTTGCAATAGACGCACGAAGAGCTTTGCTCGCANCGCGATAGCTCTCGTACGTCTCCGCTGCTCGCGCCGCTACGTCGCCAGTTTTNCGGCGACGGGCGCGGGTGTACCGGTTTCTGGCACGGACGCACGCAATCCTAAGATTGGCGATCTCGTCCGTCCACCAGTACACCGACCTCCGATTCGGTGGTCCACGGGAGCGTGGCATAGCTGTGTCGCAGATCGCGACCAGCGTCTCCCGGAACCACCGAAGTTCCGCACGGAGGTCCCGCGGCTCGGCCGGTGGTGCTGGCCAAGCCGCGGTCTGAGCAGCGGCGGACAGGAGTTGTGGGTCCAGTTGTCTGAGGACCCACCCCTGGGATGGGGGTTTTCTTCTCACCCCGCGGCGACCACGAGGGTGGTCAGGGAGCGGGGAGACCCTCATAGTGATGTANCGGTGATCGGAGAGGGTCTCCATATCTTCCCTGACTTTCCACTCGTCCACACGGCGCGCGGCGGACGGGGACGCGAAGGTCACGTCGACGATAGACCCCCCGTCTCGCCTAACGCACGTGTGTCGTGTGCCCTCGTTGAGCACAACGAGATTGCAGGCCGCCGCGAGTTTTTCAAGGGCCCTTCCTCTGGCGTCCGTCCTGGGGGAACCCCATAGCGTTGACTTGGAGTTGAAATCCCCCAGGACGAGTACCGGGCGAGTCCCTTGCCGGCGCACCGCACGCTCCAGCTCGCCCAGGTATGCCTCGAACTCGTGGAAGGGCTTTGTGGGTGAGAAGTACCCCCCAACAACCACTAGTTCCCTCCATTGGACTACCACGTATCCTCTGCCTTTTTCCAAGGGAGAAAAGACAGAGGACTCGGGGTCACGCCCCCATTTAAAATACGTCGCGACTGAGCCATCCTCCGACCCCAACCACGACGGGTGATCAGGGACGTTGTAGGGCTTAGCCACGACCGCCATGCTCCCNTTTAACTCCGTGAGGCTTTGGACCATAAGGTCCTGGGCCCCACGGGAGTGGTTTAGGTTACCCTGGAGAAGGATAGCCATTATTGGGTGGGTGGCACCTCCACCTCNATCTCCTCCTCCAGGGTCCTACTTGTAGAGGGTACTGCGCCCCTCTCCGCTGCCGCCTGCGTTGTTGTTTTATTCGCCTGCGAGGCGGCAGCGGTCGCTTCGTGTGGGGTGGGTTGCGATCCACCCCTTGCGGCTTTCTGTGCCCTTTTGTTTCCTCCTCGAGGGATTGGGGCACAGGCCTTGCCGCCCAAACGGTGGGCTGAGGGCCGACCGAGATCGGCGCACAGCGGGCACTTTGGTGNCGACTCGCACACCGCTGCGCGGTGATCCCGGCTTCCGCACCGGTAGCACCGGTTCCTCCTGTCCTCCTCCGGCGCGGAGTAGGTGCACTTTGCAGCAACATGTCCGCGTCGGAGGCATCGATGACACTGCAAGGGCCGGCGCTCCAGAACTTTTATCGGCGCCCGTACCCAGCCCACCTTTAAGGATCCAGTGTCCGCGATTTTTTTTGCCGCGGCGACGGGACACTGGATCCAGGCCGTCAGTAAGCCACTGGGAGAAGCGCGAGCTCGACCAACCTTTACCTCGGTCGGTCGACAACTCCCAGCGGCTACTACGGCCTCCTTAATCTCATCAGGGGTGACGGACTCGTCGAGCCCCCTGATTCTTAGATCGCACGTCTTGACGGGACGTGCGATCCTTACTCCTTTGAACTCGGTTGCCACGGCGGACATTGCCTCGCAGAGTCTGTCCGCCTTGGCTTCGCTGTTTTCGCCGGGGATCTCTATGATGAGGGCCCCGGTTACAGCCCGTTTCTGGCGGATTGTCTCTACCTCGTAATCCGCCAGATTTATTCGCTTCCTCATTTCGGCCATCACCACCCCCACGTCCACGCCTGGGCGTTTGGGGACAGTCACGGTGATGGCCGCTGTTCGAGGAGGCTTGCCGATCCTTGGCTGCTACTGCGGTCGCTTGCCGGGTTTGGCAGTGGGTTTGCCCCCAGCTCTGAATGCTGCCGGTGCCGCAGCCACTGGGCCTTGCGCCCGTTTATCCTTCTTTTTCTTTCTCCCCACCACCTGTGACCATGTCTCCCTAGGTGGGGGTGGGAGACACAATTGAGTGGAAGAGGATTGGGGCGGGTCGGAACGGGCCCGTGTGGAGGGGGCATCTCCGCCAGCCGAGTTAGTCGGCTCTCCACCCTTCGGTTTTTCTCCTCTCCCGTTCTTTTTGTTGGTCTTCTTTTTCTTCTTTTTACCCTTCTTTTCAGAAGAAGGGTTTTTTTCCTTTAGGTGGGGGGTGCGGTTGCTCCCTTCCGCTTGTCTAGCGGGAGAGCTATTGCCGCCAGTACTGGCCCGCAGGCTGCTGACCCCTTTTTCCGCCCCCAAGGACGGACGGGAGAACCGGTGATGGAGTTGCTCCCAGAAAATTGAGAGCTGGGACCTCATTGCATCCATCACGCGGTTCTCCAGGTCCTTAAGGGACCTCGGTCCCCTGCCTCCAACTTCCGGCGAGGGTAAACGGCTGCGCGACGCGGACTCGTTCGGTCGCTCACACGGGCCGCCACTCTCTCTGGCTTCTCCTTCCTCAGCTGAGGAGGGGGTTGCTCCTGAGAGAAGCTCTCTCGATGGTGACGCGGATGGAGGAGGCTCGGGAGGCTCCTCCAACTCCATCCGCGATTGAGCGGCTTGCGATGGTGGCGGCGAGGGAGGGGCCGGGCGACCAGCTGGTCGATTGCGACCCCTCGTCTCCTTTAACCGCGCCATTTTGAGGGACATGATCTCCTTCCTCATGTCCCTCAACTCTTCGTGCACGGCGTCCACTTCGCCCTGCAGGCGCCCGTTTTCTTTCAGGACGCTGTCAAACCTGGCCTGGACAGCGCCCTTCTCCGACTCCAGGGAGACGACCTTCTCGCGAAGGCTGGACACCTCTGCGCTCAATTTGGTGTTGAGCGCTGTGAGGCGGTGGACCTCTTCACTGGTGTCCATGCGACCCGCAACAATGCCCACCGCCTCCTCAAGTCCGGTGGCCGCCTCCTTGAACCACCGGATGTACGTCCCCTTCAGCCTGCCGGATTTGGCGGCCATGTTGCGGATTTTTTCCGCCATTTTGGCCGCTTGCTCGACCACTTGAGAGGTCGGCATCTCCCTGGAGATCAGCCTTCTCGGCGGGTCTCCGCGCGTGTCCTCCGCCCGGTTAAGGGAAGAGGAAGGTTGGCTAGGGGCAGCTGACCGGGTAGTGACGCGGATTGCGTCGAACTCCTCGGCCAGCTCTTGCTCGGCCCTCAACTGCATCTCCCTTTCGGTCTCTTCTACCAAGCGGCGCTTGGCTTCTGCGAGACCGACGTATTCCCCGGTGGTAGGGGGTCTACCCCTGCCGCGCCTCCGCGCTCTCAAGGTGTTAGTCCTCTTGGGGGAAACAAGAGGCTGGGAGGGCTGGGGTGATGCACCGGTTTGCCATTGTTGTTTAATATGGCGGTGTGGTGCTCCACTTAGTTTTTCTGAGACAACCTCTAACTCCGAGTCGGAGTCGGCGTCTCGCGGAAGAGGAGTCTCAGCAGGCTCGAGTCCAAGTTTACCTTGGGACACTACGCCCGGTTTGTCCCCTGGGATGGCAGCGGGGCCGGGTCGAGCCTTTACATGGGTGGACGGATGTTGGTGTCCGCCGACGGAATCCTCACCTTCCGTCTCTGAGTCCGAGATAATTCGTCTTGGACCCTTCAATCGTCCCCTGTGGCCACGAGAAGGGCCGGGACATGGGGACTCATCCCCCTTGCGCGTTGGCGCCTCGGCGCCAGTCATCGCAGGCGTATCATCCTGCGCCACCCCTGCGGGGCAAGTGACGCAGGGCCCGTCGTTGGATAACGACCCACAGACGGCCGGGACGATACCGTCTGAGTGCCGGGACCTGGAGTTCCGAGGCTCCTGGTTCGGTACGCTACTCTCTTCCTTATTGTACATCATCATGGGTAATAATAAGGATGGTTTAATTTCGAAGTTTTCCTTCTCCTAGGACGGTTGCCGGCCAAGGCTAACGAGCCCGCCCTGCCCGGGTTTGGAGTCAGGGTTTTCCTTCCCNTAGTCCAGTGGCCGACCCGAAAGCGCCTCTCGGAGCTGGACACCCCGGATTTGTAGTCAGGGTTTACTCCCCTAGTCCGATTGCGCCGTGGCTAACGGAGTCGGACGCCCCGGATTTGAAGTCAGAGTTTACTCCCCTATCCCAGTTGCACCGGCAAGAAGTACTAAGCGAGGCTGGGATCCCCCGGTTTTTGTTTGAGGTTTTCCTTCCTCTATTTCCTCTTTTAGTACAGGAGCTCCGCGAAAGGCCTTCCTGGCATGGG